TAACTTAGGCAACTTACTTGAGTACCAGTCACAGAGGCGTCTCTCTCTTGTGTAAGGCTACACTGGTGGGACCCTCAAACTGCAGTTTGATGGCCCGTTTGAGATTAAGCTGTGGGTCTGTGGTTGTCATAGTGACCATTACATCATCTGGCAAGGCACTACAGGGTGGGACGGGGGGAAAGCTGTAGCAAACCGGCGACAAAATGTTCTTCTGGGGTTTCGAATCCCAAGTTTCCTCCTGAAGTGGGTTCTGGAGCCTGTACGGGTATCCGAGAGGAGCGTTCTCTCGGTTTTTAGCACCTAGCGGTTGGTCCTGTCCTGGCATTATCCCAAGTGAAGCCATTACAGAGTTCCATTTACCACCTGTGTAATTAGTCCTCTCTGTTTTTATTAAATTTGAGCTTTGTTTGTTTATTTTGTCATGATATTCAAGTCCAGATGATAGGCCTTTCTGAGGCAATTCGTAATTATGCACCATGGCAGTGACTGTGCACACAGTAGGGGGAGGGCTGCCTTTGGGTTGCCTCTTACTGCTTCCGTGGAGACTGCCTATGCCCGAGCCCCCTGGTGGAGGGAGGGTGGAATTACGGCTACGACTGCGGGGCAGTGAGTGCTGTTGGATCTGCTGTATAAAGCTGAGGCTGTCAGCTGGCACCGTCTGCACTGTGGCCAGTGAGTGGCAGGTCGATGAGGTTTGGGAGCTCTGCATGGAGTGGAATCGTTCTGCAGTGGATCCTGGAGAAGAAACCGAGGACGATGAGGTTGCAGCAGTTACTTCACCCCCACTACTTTCTGAGATTCCTAAAGATGAGATCATGTTGGATTTTGAAGGGGATACAGTACTAGAGTTAGGCAACACACCTAGATATGGCTTGGCTCCATAGCTCTCCAACATCCTGACAATGTTATAGTGTCCATGTTTCCCAGCCACTTTGACCGGACTGCGGCCATATTTATCCACGTGATTGGGATTTGAGCCTCTTTCTAGAAGCATTGCAACGATGTTAGCATGTCCCTCCTGGGCAGCGATGCTCAGAGCTGTTGCCCCCTGATGGCAAGCAAGGTTTATATTGATGCCACTGGCTTCTAGGAGGCGATGTCCTACTTTAGCGTGTCCTGTCCAAGCCACTGAATGTATTGGTGGTCTCCCCTCTGCATCTTGTGCATTGGGATTCGCCCCGTGTCTTAAAAGTAGGTCTACAATCTCTACAAATCCTTGCCAGGAAGCCACATGAAGCGCTGTACGGCCCTCAGAGTCTCTGGACTCCAGAGGAACACCCCCTTTCTCAATTAGGAGAGTAGCCATATCAAGGCGACCCTCCAATACTAGGAGGTAGAGCAAAGGACGCCCTTCGGCATCCCGGACATCAGTATCAGCCCCTCGTTTCATAAGCAGCTCTGCAACATCAGCATTGCCCTCCAGGAGGCCAGCACTCAAGGCAGAATGCCCATCATAGGCCCTGTGGTCAATGGGACACCGTCTGTCTAATAGAAGTTTGGCAGTGCTCCAATGGCCTTCTTGGGCAGCTAGTATAAGGGGAGTGCGTCCCTCGATGTCCATCTCTCCAACTCGTGCCATGCTGCCTTCTTCTGTCAAAATGGCACAAATTGCACGATGTCCTTCACACGCAGCAGCGTGCAATGGAGTCCAGCCAAGATCATCTTTATGGTTTTCATCCAGGCCTCGGTCCAGCAATGTACGGACAACCTCTATGCTCCCTCTGGCTGCTGCTAGACACAGTGCCGTCCTGCCTTCACAATCAATGGCATCCACAGCCGCTCCCCAGAAAAGCAGCCGTGACACGGTCTTCATGTGTCCCATTGCTGCTGCTGCCAGGAGGGGAGTAACAGCAGCAGCAGCAGGCACACTGCCGTCAGGTCCAGCAGTTTCATCTACGTCAGCGCCAGCTTCTAACAAAAGCTCGACTACATCTTCATGGCCCTCATAGGATGCAAGAAGAAGCGGTGTCATTCCATCATGGTCTCTGTGCCCTGGATCTGCTCCACGCTCCAGTAACAGACTTGCTACCTCTCCAAAACCTTTGACGCCTGCTGCTGTAGGGACACAGACAGCTGCAACTGACAGAGCAGTGCGTCCATCTCCATCAGCCAAATCAACTCGTGCATTGTGGTCCAACAACATTGCCACTGCTTCATGATGTCCCATATAGGCAGCTGCGATAAGTGGCGTGCGGTCCTTGCTATCAGCTTTGTCAACTTGAGCCCCATAGTCCAGTAGTGTGAGAACAATTTCATCATGACCGCCCCATGCAGCAGCTCTGAGAGCAGTTCGGCCCTCGCTGTCACATCCATCTACATCTGCTCCTGCATCCAGCAGTAGATGGACAGCCTCAGCGTGTCCACCCCAAGCTGCAGAGCGCAACGCTGTCCATCCTTCATTGTCAACATGCTCCATCATCTGTACTGCAGTTTTTTGGTCCTGGCTCTTGGCCCATTCCAGGAGTTCAGACAACACTTTGACGTGACCCTGCCTGGAGGCTAAAGTCAGTGGCGTTTGACCCTGATGATCACTGATCAGTGGATCAGAGCCATGTGAGAGGAGAAGCTTAGCTAAATTTGCAGAACCCTCGTGGGCTGCACTAGCAAGCAGAGTCTGTCCATCTGTAGAACCAGGCTGGTTTACAGACATGCCACTGGCAAGCAGGTCCTTTATAGACGTCTCCCTTTCAAGTGTCTGTTGCACACTAATTCCTTCTTTACCTACACTATGCATTGCATCACTTGAGTCTGCTCCAGAACAAAAGGTTTGACAGACTAGTCCACTTCTCATCAGCAATTGAGCAACATCCTGACTCACTGAAACAGGAAGCTGAGCTAAGGATGTGGCAAGTGCTTTACTGCAGGTGGGGTTAAGAGCACGTACACCTGCCCACAGCATCCACAGTGCCAAAAATGCAGGTTTATCTTTATGGTGCCCTGAGCAAATTAAGTGTGTGGCCAGCTGGCAAGTTTCCTCAACGTCAAGGTTAGGTCCCTGTAGAGTCAGAGATGATGCAAGCATGCTATGACCTTCTGTTCTGCTACACAGATATTTCTGTGTGCAGTACTTAATATCTGTCAGCCACTCTGTAAAGCTTGCATGAAAAATTAGTTTGGTGCCTCCGGTTCCATCGATTAGGAGCGCAGAGAGGGTTTGGAGTTTGTTCTCAAAGTCCTGAAGACTTAATAAGTTGTCCTGAGTCCAGACTGCCATGAATAGCTGCTGGGGTGTTAGGGGCCTCGGGGCAGCCAAGAGGGCATTGAGGAGAGGCCTTACGTAGATGAAGCGCCCGCGGGGGAACAATCTCTGGCACAGCCAAAGGTAGAGTCCGTTGAGAGTCCCGGGGATGTCCCGGATCTCTCGCAGACCCACCAGCGAAGCTGCCACACCGTCCAGAACACGCTGAAGAAAAAGAAAGCAGCCGCCACTTTTGATGTGCAGAAGATTCAGCATATCAGCGGTATCAGGGGTGAGCTGTCGACGAAGCACCGCTTCTTCATCCAGACGACAGAGGATGTACTGCTGTACGTCACGGACTGCTGGAGGCTTCCGCAGATCATCCAGACAGAGTTTACGAAAACCTAGAAACAGATAGGACAGTTGTTTGTTTTTTTTAAATCTTCAATAAAGTTTTTTATATTCCTCATGGATTCTATCTACAGTTTTTTTTAGGTTTTGCATTTTTTCAGTCTTATGTGATGCTTTGTTTTTTTGCTTCTTATTTTGAAAACTCTATGCCAGGTTGTTCTAGTGTAATGGTAGACCTCCAGCTAACAATTTATCTAAGTCCTGGATGATTTGGTATAAAGTTCCACTTTTAATGTGGCAAAATGGAGAATGTGCTTAGCAGGTGTAGAAATAAAACCACGTTAGGGTGTTGCCTGAGGTGCTAAGCTAAGTAGCACCTGGTCTAAGGAGCTTGGAAAGAAAAGCGTCTGGACTTCTTTAAGTTGCTGAAGACGTTTCACGTTTCACCTGATTGTGACCGACACCTGTCTTCACACCTTGGCTCGTGTGATTAGGTAGAGGAGCATTAGGGGGACACTCCCACAGGACCTAAATCTGGGACTCTCCACCGTTTGACCCTAGAACTGAAGAAGCTTCTCGGATGAGCGGTGAAACATCTTCAAGCAACTTAAAAGAGTCCAGAAGCTTTTCTTTCCGAGCTTCTACGATGAGCTGGATGACTGAGAACCTTCACAGACCTAAGTAGCACCTCTATAGAAATTTTGAAAATTCTTGTTTGTTTACTGTATTGCAGTGGACAGCCAATTAAACTACTTGATCAGTGTTCGTCAGTGCATTTTTAGATGACAAAAACAGTGATTTCACTGCACAATCATGGCCACACCCTAACCAACCCATATGTCATCTTGCGTTCACATGTAACTGATCGCATTTACAATCTTGTAATATATTGCATAATCTTATAAGAGAAGTATGTACATACTTGAGAACATCTTGCACAGGGCCTTGTTTTGGCGGCGGACCGAACAGACGAGCAGCAACCAGCTGGGCAGCAGGTGTTGACTGCAGGCTAAAAGCTCTGCAATGGAGCCACTCTTCCTAACTCCTTCCCTTGGTCCATATTCTACGTCCAGAGAGTCTATAACCATCATCAGAGTCTGGGCAGGAGGAGGAAGGTCCGACAGGGGTTCCAACACTGCTCTAAGGACATGCGAGGAAGAGGCAGACACAGTGCAAGACATTACACTTAAGACAATGTAATACCAGCAGGATTCGTGGGTTGATAATAGAGTTGAAAAAGAAAAGTAACATTGCGAACACTCGTTTGTGCCAACAAAGCAGATTAGATCTTTCACACATTGTCAGTGTGAGTCACTGGGAGTGACAGTCAGACTTTGCTGCGACTTCAGGCATCTTTATTTAAAGTGTGGAGTTTAGTTTAGTTTTTTACTGCATTTTATGGAAGTTTTTTCATTGTTTTGCATATGTTGAATCTTCAGTAGTACTGGAGTCATAATCAGTTTCATTCAGCCTTTGAAAAAGAACTCGATAAAAAAAAGTGAGCAAATGTCAGGCAAACTAAGCAATTACATTTACACTTTCACAGTAATTTAGGTCAAATCCAAACTACAAGACAAGAGTCAACTGCTATCAGATGCTTCTGCAGTAAAATTAAAGCCGACTCTCATGTTAACCTGTTAACACAGATATCAAACTGTAATCAAGAGAACTAAACAGCAATTCAGCCCCACACCCCACACTTTCATTAAACACCGGAACAAGCTGCGAAACCATAAAACAATTACAAACTTGGCTAAAGCTAAAATAGCGGCGTCACTGCCTTTTAATCACTGCGGTCAGCACCCACACCCTGCTGTGATCTGATGGTGACTCAGGTTAATGGAACATGTGAATTTCCAGCTCCACCCTGATCTCTTTCATACACTCTCTATCAAACTGGCAATTCTTTTATTATTATGGATGCACGGCAAAGACACCACTGAACTTCTTGACCCTGATGTCCACTGTGATTAGTGGTGCAGGAGAAAAAAGAAAAAGCATTTGGAGAAGCTGCACTTCTGTGTCATGGGTGCAGGTCAGCAGCAGTATTATAGCAAAGCTTCTCACCTGAGAAAAAAGTGACACCCCTAGAGGGATCATTCAAATTTCCAGATATCGATAGTACAATACCAATATCGAATCAATGCCAGTACTGGTATTGGTATCAGATTGACACTAGCACAAGAGGATCAATACTTTGTTTCCATCCAAGTTCAGCATGTAGTCCGGTGATTTAGTCGTTATAAAATGTGTTCAGAATTTGCAAATATCTGATTAATTAATTCAGTTTTATTTTTATAGCACCAAATCACAACAGTTTCCTAAAGGTGCTTAAAATTCACCTCATAGGTCATGACACACTGCTCTTCCCTACATAAGCTCATAAGCTGGCTTTATACATTTAAAGCATCAGCGCTATTATTGGCAACACTACTTGGAATTACTTTGTATCCGATCGATGCCACGATTTGCATTGCACAGCGCTAGTTTTCAGAAGAGCTTTACAGCTGACAAAAATGCCTTATCCTGCAACAAACACAGGGTGTGGGTTTGCATGTGAGCTGTCATTAGTGTTAATGTCTGTGTTTAAAAATGACCACAAGGTCCAGGTACCATTAGAGGCCGAACAGGTTTTCATCTAATGGATTTAACAGTTGTTGTCTTTTTTGTTTGTTTGTTTGTTTTAGAAGAAAAAAGTCAAGAGGAGAAAAACTTTAATCTCAAAATAATGTCACACATTCAACATTATATTTTTTTAAAAAACTACCTCAAAAGAGTTTCACTCAGACTTAAACAATCTAAAGTAAGCTGAGTCTCTAACTGCTTACACTCAGGGGTCAAGAATTAATCAGCTCTGGATTCATATGTACATAATAAGGAGTGGGAGGAGAAGTTTCACCACTTTAAATATATATAAAAAAATTAGTCATCTCTATAAGGATTAGACTTTGGCGAGCGATAAGCCTAATAGTTATCTCATGCATGGATGAGACACTAAAACAGGATTATATGCATGTTCTGAAACAAATGGCACCACCCTAAACAGTTCCCAAGTTTATATGATCAGTTAATCTGTTATTTTGAAATTAATTAGCTTTTCGTGAGTAGGGTTTTAATTGATAAAAGGAAGCAAATCCTCAGATTTGATAGGCTGGGAGCGGCCACTGGTACTTTTGTGAGATTGTGGCTTTATTTGATGAATCATCAAAGCTGCTTACAAAAGGTCTTTTGCAATGTCTTGAGGTCACTAATATTTCAAGACTTAGCTAACCAGATAATAGACTCGACCTTTATTATCAAGTATATTACGCAGTAAAAAGAAGAGCGACATCCTGCTCTGAGTGTCGATTTCAGCTAGGTTATGACAAGCTTATCATAGCACTGCGCGCTTTTAGTTATCTGATTAAAACAACACTCCCTCAGCGGGCCAACACTCTGACGTGAGGAGGAGGAGGGGTAATTCTTTCATTCAGGTGACACAGTCATTTAACATGGGTGATCTAGTCGAATAAATCCTGTAGAGACAACTGTATTTGTATTGTACTTTTAATATATTTTCTTACACACACAGGACATTGCAGCCAATGCTATGTGCACTTTAAAGTATGGCGGCTTTACTCGAACTGATATGAAAGATGTTCAACACAATTCACTACCTATTACTGAGCTTACTTAGAAAGAGCTTCACTACAAGCCGCCCATTTGTCCTGCTGTGACCCATCATTACTGCTGTCATGGGAAGTCCAGCGGCAGTTTGTAGCACTTTGTCATCAGATTATGTGTCTCCCAAGAAGCTAGCATAGCCACAAGTGTCCAGTGACCAGTGTTGGGAAGGTTACTTTTAAAATGTATTCCATTACAGAATACAGAATACATGCCCCAAAATGTATTCTGTAACATATTCCGTTACGTTACTCAATGA